GGATATAATAAATATTCATAAAGGTTTAAAATTATGTTTTGACGTTTGACCACCCCCTATAATAATTTTAATGTTCCCAAGTAGGGTGAAAATTTAAAAAATAAAATTTGGAACTCGAATTTCTACTTGGAAAAAATGGTCAAAGGACATAAGTTTACAATAAAGATCCATAACGATTTAAAAATATATTTTGACGTTTAACCACCCCCTAAAATACTTTTAATGTTCCCAAGTAGTGTGAAAATTCGAAAAATAAAATTTGGAATTTTCACTTGGAAAAAATCATTAAAGGACATAAGTTTCAATAAAGATCCATAACGATTTAGAATTATGTTTTGACGTTTGACCACCCCCTAAAATAATTTTAAGGTTACTAAGTATTTTAAAAATTCAAAATATAAATTTCGAAAATTGGATTTCGGCTTGGAAAAATGGTCAAACGACATAAGTTTAAAATTAAGATTTATTACGATTTAAAATTGTATTTTGACGTTTGACTACCCCCTAAAATAATTTTGATGTTCCTAAATATTGTGAAAATTCGAAAAATAAAATTTGGAAATCAAATTTTTTGCTTGGAAAAAATGGTCAAACGACATAGCTTTAAAATTAAAATCTATTACGATTTAGAATTGTGTTTTGACATTTGACCATCCCATAAAATAATTCTAGTGTTTCTAAGCAGAGTGAAAATTCGAAAAATAAAATTTAGAAAACGAATTTCCACTTGGAAAAAATGGACAAACGACATTAAAATTATTTTAGGGGGTGGTCAAACGTCTAAACATAATTTTAAACCTTTGTGAATATTTATTATGTCCGTATGTCGTTTGAATATTTTTTAAAACTAGAAATTGGATTGGGAAATATTTTCTTCGAATTTTTAACCTGTCTGGAATCTTTCAAGATATTTTAGGGAGTGATCAAACGCCGATACATAATTTTAAACGTTTCTGAATCCTATTGTGTCTTTCTGGCCATTGATCTATCTTTCAAAGTTGAAATGCATCCCAGAACTCTTGTTTTTCTATAATTTACCCCCTTTAAATTATTTTAATGGGTGTTAAAAAAAATCTAAGGTGTGGTCAAACATGTTCAAAAATTGATTAATTCTATAGTGCAGTCAGTTTTAAAAAATATTAACTTCGGGGGGCCAGCGGGCACTCGGTCATTAATATTTTTTTAAATATTTAGATTTCTGAGGGTGGTCAAAAAAGTTAGTGGGTGGTCAAACATGGTCAATACATACAAACGTATGTCGCTTTTAAAACTAAAATTTTTTAATTTCGGTGGGCCAGCTTCACAGAGCTGAAAATTGCGTAGTTTTTCGAAATTTATATTTTCAAACTTACGAACTAGATTGAATTTCTGTTGTATACACATACATTGCTACATGTTTTAGTAATACATCAGTACATACGTATAATTAAAAATATTTTTAGTTACAGGATGATTTATAAATGTATGATGGTAGTTTTTCCAAAATCTCACTAATTTTACTGTGACGTCAGGGAAGCATATTTTTAAAAAATACTACACAATATGCTATTTTGACAACAAAATAATATACAATACATTTCCTCTACAGGGTGTTCTAATAGAAACAGTTAGATTACTCTGTATATTTTAAAATATTATGGTTAGATACCTACCTAATATAATATTAATTTACTCAAAAGTCACTAAAGAAATGAAAGGTCGTCTTTTTAATAATTTTAAAACATAATTACTTTTTGGTGGTTGGCTGGATGGCTCATCCTGTATAAAAAAAAAATTAATGAAATAATTTCTCTGTGACGCAACTATAGTTATTCAGTGTTTTATTCGTGAAGCAGCCAGTAATAATTATTATTTTAGACCATCAGCGGCTTGTGTTGAAAATATTGGCGGTTTACAATAACAGAATATAGATATGTATTAGTACAGATGTAGGTAAAAAACTTTCAGAGTCTTCGGTATTATATACCTTTCTATACCTATACCTTTCTAAAACATTAAAAGTTTTTTACCTACATCTGTACTGATATCTATATTCTCTCATTGTGAACTACCAATATTTTGATCACGAGCCACAATTATTTTGAACTGTCCCTTATATTTAATTTATATATTCTATAAAAAACAATCTAGCTTTTCAGTTTAAAGAAAAAATAAACTAAAATCTACAATTCTCCACTTTAACGCCATGTATCTCGAAAACTAGTCATACGGATTTAAAATACATAACTCTAAAAATAGTGTTAAAATTATTATATACCGAAAAAATGGTTACATTTGACCTATGAAAGTTGAGGATGTTTCCAACAGATAAGCTGCCTTGTATATTGTGAAGCTTAGAGGTACGCATATTTTAGTGATTTTGGAGCTATTACTTTAAATTATCCACCTTAGTCATTTATAAATAAAAATATATTTGCAAATTGTACAGTTTTGATCAGCATCCCATGTATAACCTAACAAATATATAAACATTAGGATGTTTTATCTAATTAAAAATAAAATTAAAAAAATGTGATAGCATAAGACATCATTTCAATAAAATTGTATTTTTTAATGGCCAATATAAACATATTTTTTATATTATTTGTTATTTTGCCATAATATATTTTCAATTAATATCTACAACTGTTTGATTATTCTATGTTAGGTATATCAGTTTCGGTCTAAAATAACCGTTAACAGCCGTTTTTCCATAAACCTTAACTATACAGAAGTCACCTATATTAAAGTAGTTATCATTTATAGGCTCTTTATCTTCTGAAGACCAAAATTGCGAGTCATTGTCGCTTTATTGAAATGAAAAATTATCCTCAATAATTTTTTCCGGTTTTTTATTTTGTTTTTTATTTTTTTAGAAGCGGCATCTTTTTTCGTTGTATAGCATCTTATTTCTCCTTGTCTTCCTGTTCTCGTTTTTTTAGATATTCATTGGAAGTAATTATTTCGCAGTTATTAACTATTCTTCGCCTCTTGACCTGGGGTTGTGGCTTCAATTATATTTTTAAGACGTCTAATAGGACATCTTCAAATGTCTTGCGCGTTTTATTTTGCTGGGATGCATTTTTAGATGTACTTGCCACTGCTGTTTGGTCCATTACAAAATTTGATGATGTACTTGTACTAGCCACTGTTGGGTCTGGCTGGACATTTTCGGACATTGATATAGTGGTTTCTTTAACCGGATCTGCTACCCCACTAATAAGTACTTCAATTCCCTGTGGGACACTGTTAGATGTACTAGCCACTGCTGAGACCAACTGGACATTTTCAGGACTGGATATGACGATTTCTTTTACTGAATCTGTTACACTAGTGTGATTAACATCTATTGAAGCATTGGGATGAGAAAGATTATTTTTATAACGTCTTAGGTCTTCTGGTTTAAAAACACTCGGCGAAATTGCATTTTTGTTCGGTACTTTAAGATTTGGGTCATATATACCGGTGGTGGCAAAGCCATTAACAATGTTTTGAGCCGTTATCTCTTGTGTAGCTTTAGGAAGTATTGCTACAAATTCTGCTTTGGGGATTTTTTTATCGTAAATTAAAAGAACCGGTCTTTCAGGGCCAATATGTTTTAAAAAAACATTTTTAAACCAATTATAAAAAAGAGTGGTTTCCATCCAGCCCCGTTCGCTAGCAGATATTGCCGTTTGCGACACATCGTCATTAAACCAATTCTCCATCACATATTTACCTTTAAATACACATAAGGCAGGTAATTTGTTTCCATCGGCTGAACAACACAGCAAAACTGTGGTATTTTCTCTGCCTGAAGAACTTGTTTTTCGTTGACTCTTTACCCCAATTGCCCAAACGATCTTTGTTTTAGAGGGATCGTGACAAAACGATGTTTTATCACAATTAAATATTTGTAAAGGTTTTCCATTTAATTTTAGCTCCTTCACTTGATCTGTTAGTTGCTTAAAATAATCATATATCACCCAGGGATTAACCTGAAAACAAGAATTAAAATAGATTTATCAGTCTTTGGCAGTATTAAATATATAACAAACCTGATCACATCTGACGTGCTCTATAATTTGAGGTTTCTTGATGGACAGTGCATGACGACGTCGGAAAGACGTAAACCAGTCAGAACCGGGACGACTGTCCTTAAATCTCATTAATATATTGTTTTGCATTATGTACAGTTTAACCATATCAATAACTTCTTCGCGGCAGAGCCCGAACCCATTTTTTTCTGATACTTTCAAACAATTTGCTATCTCTTCTTCTTCTTCTTCGTCTTTTGAAAGATATGACGATACTCCTCCTCCCCCTTTGGCACCCGTAGAAGTATTACCTTTACCCCGAGTCCCTAATACATAATGTTTTAATGTTGATCGTGGTATGTTATAAAGAGTAGCTGCTCCACGAGTCGTTTTGTTGCCATTCCGAACATCAAATAAAGCTTTTTCTAAGTCTTCTCTGGTGTATGTAGTACCGGCTCCCTTCTGCGTCTTTCTCACATAGTTCCGCACCATGTCTGCGAAACATTAAACACGTTCAATTTAGAACATGCAAGCGGGGTGACTGGACCATAGTGGCCCAAATACTCCAAGCGTATGACGCAGATACCCCGTCTGCAAACTTTTTATGGGGTAACTGGGCCACCCCTTCCACATTTTTATCCTTAATTGTCGTAAGTAATTAATTATTTACGAACGTAATTTCTTGAAATGAAGTGAAAATATTACCCCAAAAATAATATATATCTTTCATTGCTTACCTGTAGGTAGATATCCTTGAAATTAAAACTAGTTACAGCCCGATGTTACTAGATTTTTATTAGCAAAATTTGTTGCCACCATGAAATTCCAAATTTAACTGATTTTTAGGTTATGCGTGTTGTTCTATGTTGGTAGTGCTCTACTTAACCCTAGCCAACTGTGTAAAATAAAAGAATTTGAACGATGTGGCGGGAAATATTCCATGGCCCAGTTACCCCGTGGGTCTAGAAACCCCGACAGACCTTATTTTATTTTCTTTTCTTTTAGCGCCTTAAAATTGGTACATTTATTTTCCATTAATCCACATTTGGGACCACTTCAAATATCTTTAGGACGAATGGTTATCGACATCGTTAAATTTTTCTTTATTTATTCGTTGGTGCTATTTGCATTCGCCTGTGGTAAGTTTAATTTTCTTTTCCTAAAAAAAATTGTATTTTAAAATAATACTACTCCTTTGGCTAATATACAGGGTTTACTGTAAAAGGTCTTTACAAAAACATACCACATATTCCTTAGACCAAAATAAGTCGATTTAAGTAAAATTACCTTAGTACAAAGTTGCTTCGTTTGGGCTCCAGAGGGCCTTGAAGTTACAATTTTTAAATCGTTTTTCCCATATAAATTTAAAACGGCATATGCGATTTTGCTGAAATTTGGTATATTGGTAGAGTTTTATGTGGCAAAAAAAATGGTATTAAAATTTTGTCCGATAATAATACATAGGCGTAGAACTTGATTTTTTAAATAATTGCACCTTTAAAAATTCTACGCCAATGAAAGAAAAGGAATTTGAGTATGAAATTTTGATTGCGCAACTCATTTACTTTAAAAAAGGTACTCTTGATAAGACTCGATTACTCTCATGATTTTCGATAAATTTCTATTTTAATAATTTAGAGTGTATAGGTTTCACAAAAATATTTATTTACAACATAATCAAAATAGAGATTTTACAAAAATTGTTCAAAATGTTCACCATTTTCACGCATACAAAGATTTATACGTCGAAGAAAATTAATATGTATCCTTTCCATAACTTTTTCATCACCTCTAAGATTGTTTATTGCATCTTGAATACGTTGCCAGAGTTGTTCCTCATTTTCTACAGGTTCCCTGTAAACTGTGGATTTCAGATGTCCCCATAAAATTTAATCCATTGGTGTTAGGTCTGGGGAACGTGGTGGCCAGTTTACAGGTGCGTCCTTACCTCTGCCTATCTATTTGTGTGGATATTGTTCATTCAAGTGGTTTCTAACGTTTAAAGAAAAATGTGGTGGAGCACCATCTTGCATAAACCATATATCTCTCCGAAGTTGGAGAGGTAAATCTTCTAACAATTCTGGCAACGTATTTTGTAGAAAATCCAAATAATTTTCTCCAGTTAATCTTCGTGGAAGTATGACAGGACCAACAATGAAATTACTAGTTATTCCAGTTCACACATTAATTTTGAATTCGTGCTGAAAATGGTTTACCTTTATTGCATGCGGATTTTCAACGGCATAAACATGTTCATTATGGGTATTAGTTATACCTCTTCATGTAAAACCCGCTTCATCGGTAAAGAAAACCTTCTTGACAAAGTTTTGATCTCTTTCTCTTTGCATATTAACAAATCGACAAAAACCCAAACGAATTTGAGGATCATGGACTAATAATTCTTGTACTGGCTTCTTATGGTATGGATATAGCAATTGTTCTCCAAGCACTTTATGAACGACATCTTTACTTACTCCTAGTTCCATTCCAATTCGTCTGGTGCTTAATTCTGGATCTTCTTCAACACGTTCTAAAATGTCTTCTTCAACTTCAGGAATCCTTACAAAACGTTCTCTTCCATTATCAACAGTGTTGGGTGCAAAGGAACCGGTCTCCCGAAGACGTCTCTCAACAGCAGCAAAAGTTGGGTGGCTAGGTACTAGAGGTGGGAAGTTCGAATCTTTTTACTGAATTAATTCATTTGATTCATTCACCTAAAAAGATTCGTTCTTCAAGATTCGTTCTCAAGTGATTCACTTTAGCGAACCACGAACGATGTTATTCCGCCGATCCGGCGAAGGAAATCGAACCGAACTTTTACGAATTTGAGTACTACCTAACCTACCTACCTACCTACTAGGTCGTTGAGTAAAATAATTATAACCAGATTTATTTTAAAGTAAAGCGAATTAATGTTTCATATTTCATAAAAAAAAGGCAGCTGAATAATAAATACATCCTTGTCCGTTAAGATAAACAACAATAACACAATTTTTTTTAAATGCCAAATATATAGCCAAAATTAACGCAAAATTATATATTCACGATTCATCATTTTTTGTTTTAATTTTACTTTGATTTAAATTTATTTATCAGACAACACGCATAAATTGTTTACCTAAGCTTAATACACACCTCATGTAAAGTGAGAAAAACATAAAAGACACATACCGCCACCGCCTGTCAGTTAGAGTTCTCGTATTATGCCGTAGAACGTAGAACAAAAGCGACCAATTTGCCGATGCCGATGTAAAATACCAAATACCGAATCCGAATCGAATGAACGAAGCAACCAAACTCGGAACTCGGCGTGTTTGATCGATCGCAGAGCCATCGAGCAATTGACTCAAAAAAGATTCGAATCTTTTAAAAACAGGGAATCAATTCATTCGAGTCAGTGCACTGATTCGTTCTTTTTGAACGAATCGTTCGCGAACGACACACCTCTACTAGGTACACGACGATTTGGAAACCTTTCATAGTACACCCTAACACTCTCTCGAGCATTTCCTTCACAAAATCCTAATGTAAGTAACATATCGGTATATTCTGCATTGGTATATTTTACAGTCATATTAATAAACCACGCATTTGTTTTTTTAATTATTGAGTCAGATAGAACACTTTCAATCGTTAACAAGAGATTAGGTGTTAAAACCTGACAATATTTTTATTTAGATGAAACTATGAAAACCAACAATAAATGTTTTTGTATACGTATTGCAGGCAAATAATTAATATTCCTCAAAAAATCGTACATGGCAAGAATCGAGTATTTTTGTTAAAAGTCTCGATTAGAGGTGTTAAAGAAGATATGAAAAAAGTACATTTTTATGTTTTTCAGCGTATAAAATTTTGTCCGATAATAATACATAGGCGTAGAACTTGATTTTTTAAATAATTGCACCTTTAAAAATTCTACGCCAATGGCAAAAAAGGTTTGAATATGAAATTTGGATTGGGTACTCATTTACTACAAAAAAGTACCCTTGATAACACTCGATTTACTCTCATGGTTTTGACAAAGTTTGTATTTTAATAATTATTGTTTATGTTCTAAAATTACTAAAATGCAAATTTCGTCAAAACCATGAGAGTAATCGAGTCTTATCAAGAGTACCTTTTTTAAAGTAAATGAGTTGCGCAATCTAAATTTCATACTCAAATTCCTTTTCTTCTATTGGCGTAGAATTTTTAAAGGTGCAATTATTTTAAAAATCAAGTTCTACGCCTATGTATTATTATCGGACAAAATTTTAATACCATTTTTTTTGCCACATAAAACTCTACCAATGTACCAAATTTCAGCAAAATCACATATGCCGTTTCAAATTTATATGGGAAAAACGATTTAAAAATTGTAACTTCAAGGCCCTCTGGAGCCCAAACGAAGCAACTTTGTACTAAGGTAATTTTACTTAAATCGACTTATTTTGGTCTAAGGAATATGTGGTATGTTTTTGTAAAGACCTTTTACAGACACCCTGTATAAATTATACCCAAAGTAAAACAGAAGAGAGAAAAATTATTGCCAATACTCTAACTTTGATTTTGTTTAATAAGGAGACCGTGTCATTCGTGGACAGGTTTCGTTTTTTAACGAAACAAATTTATTTATTTCGTTTTGTTATTATTTATCTAAGTTAACTAAATCGTAGTATAAGAAAAATATAAGAATAGAAATATATAATACATTTTCAAAACAAAATGTATTAAAAAAATTATATATTAGAGAGTTATTGCAAGTTCACTTAAGGTCAGTCACTATTAGGGCCAGTTTCATAATACACTTTAGATCTACTTTATAAATTTAAATAAGTGAAGTGATTTCATAATACTACTTTAGCATTTAAATTTTACTTTAAAATAAAGTCATGATTTTGATGGCTTTAGCACTGCACTTTAACCTCAAAATGTGTAAATGTTCAGTTATACATATATAAACATCACACCTTGTTTCTAGTAGTAGATAAATAAATATGGATAATTTTACTTCTGATTCTGAGTTATTGTCAGATTCAAGTTCCTCAGATTCTGATTTAGAAATTATTGTTAGAAGACGGAAGATATACAGAAAAAGAATAAGCAATTTTGATTACTGGTCAGATTATGAATTTTTTCATAGATTTAGGTTAAGCAAACCAGCTGTGATCGAGCTGGTAGAATATATAAGACAGGATATTGAATCGCCTACGAACAGGTAATAAAATAAATTGAAAAAAATATTCACAATAAACTATACATACATTTTTAGAGGTGGAGCTATTAAAGCATCAACAAAAGTATTGTTAACATTACGATATTATGCTACAGGAAATATGTTACTATCTGTTTCTGATTTTGTCGGAGTATCTGTTGCTTCAGGTAGTAGAATAGTTAAACTAGTTAGTCGTGTGATTGCATCTCTGAGAAGGGACTTTATTAGCCCTTTCGGTCATACTGTATTCAATTGTATACATCGACTTTTTTATTTTTCCTAAATAAACTCAAGAGTTGTACATCTATCTCTTAATATTCTATGGTATAGTACACCTATAGATATTTGATTTAGCACATGTAGCGACATCTACATATTATATGGCGAACGTTATAAATATTTGTAAATGTCAGATCAGATGTGATTTAGGAGACACGTTGCAGAGTAATTTTTAATTGCCTAATCGAGGAAGTTCTGTGAATCACTGTGACTTTATATATTGTGGAATAAGGTTAAAAAACATTGCATTTTTACCTGATAAATTTATTTGATAGGTATTTTTTGTGATTTCTCCATAAACATTTTTAGAAAAGTGCTGTATTCAAATGAATACATTGTGACTCAAAGGACCGATTAGAGATGGTAAGCATATTTGTTTTTTTTTTTATTTTCTTTATTGATTTGGTATTTTTATTGAAGGCTTCAAAATTCAATAAAAGAAAGCCTTTGACTAACGAAGAGCTGCTGGATCTCATTGAAAATGGGTTGTCAGACATCGAATTTTTAAGCGATGATGACGATGAAGTAGAAGGGGTGGGGGCCGATATTTTTGACGAAAGTGAGGATGAAGGGCTGGAAGTTGGGCAAATGGCTTCAGAACCCCTTTCCGAGGAAGTTGATGAAACAATAGTCGAAATGGATCCAGATACTGAAGTTGCAGCT